CCAGCAATCACTGTGCGAGGGGCGGGGTACACCCTGGACGGGTCTCCAGTCCATCACAAGGCCACGCAGACAAACGAGACAAACAACCATTCAGTCTCTCACTCACACCTAGGGACAATTTGAAGTTACCAATCAGCCTAACATGCATGTTTTTGGTCTGTGGGAGGAAACCGGAGTACCCGGAGAAAACCCACAAATGCACGGAGAGAACATGCAAACTCCACCCAGAAAGGCCACTGGACCGGGGTTTGAACCAAGGACCTGCTCGCTGAGAGGCAGCAGCTCTACCAGTTGCGCCACCATGCTGTTGTTTTTACATGTGCTATATAAATAAAATTGACATTTAAAACACTGTGTTCATGTTCTGCAGGTTAATATATTTTTCTTCTTGCCATTCTTCCATAAAGGCCAGATTTGTGAGTGTACGACTGATTGGTGTCCTAGACATCCAATAAATGTCATTCCACTTCACGATTGTGTCCCACTTGTTGTTGATTCTTCACAAAAAATTAAAATTTTATATATTTATGTTTGAAGCCTGAAATGTGTCAAAAAGTTGAAAAGTTCAAAGGGGTCGAATACTTTCGCAAGGCACTGTACCTGTGCGTGCGTTTGTCAAAAAGTCTCAAACTACTTAGATTTCAACTGCATTTTCATGCAATGCATGCATGAAAAAATAAATAAAATACATTTGGTTTATAAAGTCTTGACACTTCAATAAAAACCTGCAGAATAAAACTATTTGGATGGACCAGGATTGTTGCTGCACCATTCATATGTATGTGAATGTATGTACGTATACTGTATATATACATGTACACACACACATATATCTATATATATCTATATATATATATATGTATATATATATATATATATATATATATATATATATATATATACATACACTATACACACACATGTACATATGCATATGTATACACAGACCCTTTCCAAAAAATTAGAATATCATGAAAAAGTTGTTTAACTTCCATAATTCCATTCAAAAAGGTAATCTTTATTATATGATAGATTCAGGGCCCACAATTTAAACGATTTCAAGTATTTATTTGTTTATTTTTACATAATTTGGGCTTCCAGCTCATGAAACACACCAAAACAGGATTTCAAAAAATTAGAATACTGTGAAGAAATCAGCCCAAATGTTGCAGGGCATGAATGTTTTAAACTGAGTGTGACACTAATCATCTACTGAACTCAAAGCACCTGAACAAGTTTCCCCAGGTGTCATTCAATTGCTTCAGTTTGGTTCAATTGTCTCAGTTCGGTTCAATATGGGGAAGACTGCAGACATAACTGGCCAGAAGACCATCATTGATACCCTCCATAGGATGGGTATGACAAAAGTTCATAGCTAAGGAGGCTGGCTGTTCACAGAGTGCTGTGTCCAAGCATATCAATGGAAAGTCTAGTGGAAGAGCAAAATGTGGCAGAAGAAGATGCACCAGCAAAAGAGATGACCGTGGGCTTCAGCGGATTATCAAACAGAAGATTCCAGAATCTGACAGAGATCCAGAAAGAGTGGAATGAGGCGGGAGGCACAGCTTCAAAAACCACCACATTCAGACACATCCGGGAGATGGGCTTCAACTGTTGGGTTCCTCTGTCCTCTTTTCAGATGAAAGTAAAGTGGAAATCAAGGTCCAAGGGTTTGGAGGAAGAAGGGCGAGGAACAGAGCCCACACTGCTTGAGGTCCAGTGTGAAATATCCACAGTCAGTCATGATTTGGGGTGCAATGTCCGGTGCAGGTGTTGGTAAACTCTGCTTTCTTAAATCCAAGGTCACTGCAACAGTCTACCAGAATGTTTTAGAGGACTTCATGATTCCTTCTGCTGAGGATCTGTATGGAGATGCAGATTTCATCTTCCAGCAGGACCTGGCCCCTGCTCATGCTGCCAGAAGCACCAAAACCTGGTTTGATGCCCATGCCACAGTGCTTGACTGGCCAGCCAACTCGTTGGACCTAAACCCCATATGGCGTATTCTCAAGAGGAAAATGTGGAGCATCAGACCCAACAACAAAGAAGAGCTGATGGCAAGCATCAAGGAAATCAAGGCTTCCATAACTCCCAGTCAATGCTACAGACGGGTTGCCTCAATGCCACGTCACATCGAGGCAGTGATTAAGGCAAAGGATTCCCAACCAACTATTGAAGACTGACATATTGTTTTGAAAGTACCGTCTTTTGATCCTATTTTTTTTTCCTGCAAAAACTGAGTAGTGTGGGCTGATGTCTTCACAGTATTCTATTTTTTTTTAAATCCCGTTTTCGTGGGTTTCATGAGCTGGAAGCCCAAATTATGTAAAAATAAACAAATACTTGAAATTGTTTAAATTGTGGGCCCTGAATCTATCATCTATTAAATATTAACTTTTTGAATGGAATTATGGAAGTTAAACGTTTCTACGATATTCTAATTTTTTGGAAAGGGTCTCTGTGTGTGTGTGTGTACATATATGTATGTATATATATATAGCTTAATCATGAATGTAGTACTCCCTACCACCTTGTGCATATTGTCTTTTTTACAAATTTGTGTATTCTGCTTCCGTTTTTGATTATTTTATGTGTTTTCTGTATAATCAGAACATGCCACTGGATGAATTTCCCCCCTGGGATTAATATATCTATCTAGTGATCAATCTCATTAGAAAGACGCAGCAAGTGACAAGATCAATTAACTTGGTTGAAATGTTTTGTTTTTAAAACAAAAGTCCTTGATAACATGACTGTGTCAATCCACAGCCATTTGTTAAACACTTTAAAGTCCCCCCCCCCCACCCCACAAACCAGTGGACAGAAGAGTGAAATCAGAAACTCTTTATGATTTAAGAAATAAAAAGATGAAGTGGTACAACCAAGAGCCCAGGACTGATATAAAACCAGCAGGAAATGAAGCGTTTAGCTCAATCTGTGAGTAAACCCTGACACATGCAGCGTTTCAGAGTATGTTTTGATCCAGTCGGCCCAAAAGTGGCACCTGTTTTAAATTCATGACGGTGACTCAGACGTGTTCAAGTTACTTTCTGGAAACAAACTCTGAAGTAGTCTGGAGCTCCTTCTGTTACCGAAACACTCGGATGTCCAGTTTCAGCTTTAATTAAACGAAATCTCAAAGTTTGAACCGCTGCCCAAGTTTTTGTTTCACCTGAAGAAACTTGTTGATTTAAAAATCCTTCCATCATCTTTGCTTCAGTCCACTTTAAGCACCTTGAGGTTCATGAGGTCTTCACTGCAATGGATTCAGTCCCGTTCACATCTCCACCTTTCAGGTACACTGAAGCTTCATGCATCTTTAAAGACAACCCGAGTCTTTGGAGGAGGCTAATTTAATTAGAACTTCAGCTCAGATGAGTCCAGACGATAAGAGCAGCTCCAAAGTTCATCCAGCTGCTCAGGAGAGCCCACGAGCAAACCTTTACTGATTAAAGTGGACTCAAACATTCTTCTATACGTGGGACTTTTTTTTTATCCTAATGTGCTCATCTGCAGTTCAATTCATGATTAAAATGAATTTCTCTTTAAATAAGGGTTTAGCCTACTTTTATGCACTGCTCCTGCTTATATAGTTTTCTTTATGTTCCCCTAAAAACTCCTGGTACCGAGGTGCCACAAAATATAAGAAGCTGTAAGAAAGAATAGTTTGAGGCAACTGAAGAAAATCAAGAAACAAGAATAAAGTTACGGCACCGTGTTGTACAGTAGAGGGAGCTGCAACACATTTCTGTTCTGTTACTGCAGACACATTGAACATTCATCAGCCTACAGCTGGACAGGTGTGTGCAAACAAAAAGAAACATTATGTTAGGAGGCCAAAGCATCCTTTTCATCGTTTCCCCCCAAAAAGAAAGAAAAACGGCCTTTAAACTTTGAATACTTGTTAGAGCTTATAAGAATTAAATAAATAAATGCATTAAACTCTCATATATATATATATATATTTATAAAATAAACTTTTTTTTTTGCTATAGCTTTAAAGCAATGGTTCTCAAAACTGGGGTCCCAGGACGCTCTGAGTTCCGCGAGCTGGTGCCTGGGGGTCCACAAAAAACAACATTTTTTTTTTATATATATACAAGCACGTACTGTTTAACAGTCCGTTAAAATACACCAAAATGCAGGAAATCACATCTACTTTATTCAAAATTTTCTGGGGGAAGACCCCCCCCCCCGAGACCCCCCACTATTTGTATTTCAGCATCAATCAGTTTACAAATGAAGTCCTGTTCCTTGGTCTGACTCCTGCTGTTATGATTCTGTTCAGTTTGATGTAAAGAGTTTTCTGTAATAATTTGAAGAAGTGTCAATACATTTATTATGTTCATTGTGTTAATAGTTAAAGTTTTAATGAGGTTTTTGATGCTGTTAATTTTCTCAAAACTGTAATTTTTGGAAGTTGAAATTAAAAATTGTGTTAATTAAGTGTGTCTTGAATGAAAAATACCTCATGTTTAAAAGTATAAAAACTGTATTAACACTATTAAAGAACAGGTCTTAAGTATTTATGTTGCACAAATATTTCCATTGTATTAAAGAGACAAATAGAATAAAATTATTTAATAAACATGAGGGTTATGAGGGGGGCCCTGAAACTTTTTCTCCCCTGTAAGGGGTCCCTGAACACAAAAAGTTTGAGAACCACTGCTTCAGGCCATCTGAAAATAAATAAAGAGTGCAAACGGCACATTATACGCCCGTCAAATTATTATACAGCAATCCCAGACAAGCAAAGACCTTGCATAACCTTTGACCTTGGAGTTGGGGGTGATGAAAAGTGCATGTGACACTCCGTCTACTGATGATGTATAAAGTTTCATTAAATTATCTTGAGTGGACCAAAGTTGTGGGCGGGGCAAGAGGTTTACAGGCGTTCAGAGACTTCACCTCCAATAAATAAAGATACGTGCACCTTTCGACGTGCGTATAAAAACATCTCCTCTGTTCAGCGGTGACCTGTGTCTCCTCATCACGTTTCTCTCACACTCTTCATCACCCACACATGCTCTTCACATCTCCATCTCATCTCCTCGTGCTTCTCGTGCTCCGTGTCGCCGGCGTTATCCTCTTTCGCTCTTTGGGCGTGTCGGACGACAGCTCCTTCAAGGTGGCGACAGCCGTCCTGGTCCAGTGCTCCACCTCTCTGTAGATCCGGTAAATCCAGAGCTTCAGCTCGAACAGATTGCTCAGACGCTCTGCCTGGGAGGGAGAAGATGAAAATGGTTCCTCCTTGGCATCTGGACTTTTAAACACCTCCCCTTTGTCACAAACACCTACCTCAAAGTCGTCCAGGTTTGGAGCCAAGATGGCGGCGCCGTCCGCAGCTTTGAGCAGCTCTGCAGTGTTGATGAGGAGGAGCGACAGTCTGTTCTTCACCACCTCCCTCTGTTTTTCATACCTGCCCTTCTCTCTACCACCCAGCTCCTCGTCTTCTTTGGTTGTGGCTCGTTCCAGCAACGTGCGGCACTGCAGCAGAGCAGAGTGGAGGCGCCAGAGTTTGTCTCTGCTGTCCAGCTGGGAGGAAGGAGGAGGAACCGACACCAGCCGGACCTCAGACACGTCCACATGGAGGTCCTCTTTTTTCTTCTGAAGGACAAAGGACAAGATAGAAACAAGTGAGGGGTTGGAAAGTGACATCTTTTTTTAATAACAAATTTTAACTCAATCCAGTTCAGTTTATTTCTATAGCACCAAGTCACAACAGAAGTTGTCTCAGGGCACTGAACAGAAACATTCATATTTAAAAATAATAATTTAACGTTATTAATCTGAGGAGCAGACTGATTTGAACTCTCATCTTGAGCAAGCATGAAGGTGCCAGTGGAAAGGAAAAACTCCCTCATGAGAAAGAAACCTTTAGCAGAACCAGACACAGGACAAGCGGTCATCTGCTTCAACCGGCTGTGTTTGAGAGGAACAGATACACAATGGCAGGTTGAGAATCACGTTAAGACAAAAATAATATCAAATGAAAACTATTAAATTTTAGCAAATCATTTTAGGAAATTAGGTCAATTTGTCCTCTAGTAGTCTAAGCCTATAGCATCATATCAAGCCAACCCTAACTATAGGATTTATCAAAAAGGAAAGTCTTAATCCCAGTCTTAAAACTGGACAATGTGTCAGCCTCACGGACAGAAACTGGAAGTTGGTTCCACAAGAGAGGAGCCTGATAACTGGAAGATCTTCCTCCCATTCTGCTTGTGGAAACTCTAGGAACAGTGAGTAAGCCTGAAGTCTGAGAGCGAAGTGCTCTGTTGGGAAAATATGGAACAATAAGATCTGTAATATAAGATGGAGCTAGGTTGTTGATGGATTTGTATGTTATAAGTAAGATTTTGAATTATATTCTGAATTTGACTGGGAGCCAATGGAGAGAAGCTAAAACTGGAGAGATGTGATCTCTCCTAAAGGCTCCCACATACTCGGGTGGACCTCAGTCCATGCAGAAAATGCACGCACTGTCCGCAGAGGGTTGAGACTTCATACTCGAGTGTACACCCTGACTAGCTGCAGCCCAGCTCCGCTGGCAAGAGGCTTTTACCTTCGGGACTAATTGAGGTCTCCGACTGGTCATTTGCTGACATGCCTACTGGATTGATTGACAGGTCACCAAAAAAAAAAAAAAAAAAGAGAGAGAGAGAGCTGGCAACCTCAGCCACAGCGGTGTTCTGTGTTTATATGTTGTTAATAAAAAGTTCTAAAAAAAAAAAAAAACCAGGGAGCTCTGACCCTGCAGTCCACACATCAGACCAGCCCACCAGGAAATCTCCAGACCCTCCTTAAGCCACACTGGACCTGATTTTAATTCTCTCGTGACAAATTCCTTCATTTCTCATCATTTCAGTCATGGCAGTATGGCAAGCCATGTTTGCACATATCGGATCGTCAGCCGCACGCGTTCCTGACGCAATAAAAAGCCCGACACTGACCTGGCCCACACATTAAGCACATTATTATGGCCCGGCCCGGTCCGAATCTGGGTCGGGCAAGGTTGGGCTACGGGTTTGGGTTAGAAAAGACAGCTCTACCTCTTGGCAAAAAAAACTAAAGAAAAGGCCATTAAACCAGAACAGGGATGAAGAAGGGGAATTTAATACATAGGTGCTGCATACAAATCAGTCCGTCGCCGGGCAGTTTATTGTGCGACTCACGTGTACGCAGTCGTAAAAATTTAGCTTTGTACGGAGATGCCTTGCGGGCGTGTGCTTCGAGTCTAATCCGGTACATGCGGACCTCTGCGGACTGAGGTCCGCCCGAGTCTGTGGGAGACAACTCCAGTTAAGACTGTCAGCAGCATTTTGGATTAACTGAAGACGTTTTTAAAGAAGTATTTGAACACCCAGATAACAAACCATTGAATATTTCAGATTTTTGTAATTTATTCAGCTTGTAATTTATTAATCTACACCTCCATCATTCAGATTATTCGGCTCTTTTCTGCTGTTTTTTGCTGGTTTCAGCTTTTATCTTCCTGTTTTCAGTAAATGTCAGCTGTTCAAATTCAGCTCTCATTAACAGTTCAGAGATGTTTCAGCTTCTTCAGTAGCTGTCAGCAGAAATCATTCAGCAATAAATATTCCACCAGGAAATGATGTTTCTCTAGTAGGGGTGCACCAACTGCAGTTTTCTTGACGATCACCGATTTCTAAAAAGTCTGACCTGCCGATTCTGATTTTGGCTGATACCGATTTTATTTTATAAGCGACACTGTCAGGTGTTATAATGTCACAACGCACCTTCAGTTTTCCAATATTATTTTGTTGAAAAACATACACTTGAACAGTATCCTAGAAACAATACAAACTTGTTTAAACTGGCCATGAGGTAGTACTCTGAAATATAAATGAAGTTCAGACAATTGTTGTTAAAACTAAAAAAATCTGTAAAATCGGTTTCTCATGCAAGAATCGGCCGATTTCCGATTTCCCGAAATTAAGGAAATCGGGGCTGATAAATCAGACGGACGTTTTATCAGAGCACCCCTATTCTCTAGTTATTTTTTTATGATCTTTAGAAATCTGTGCAGCTGATATAAAACAACTTTTTTATGGCCATATGTATTTGTTGTTTAACATTGTTAAAATCTCATTACTGCACTTAAATGAACACATTTAAGTGCAGCAAGCAACAGTATGATGAACTTGGACACTTAAAAATATTATTATAGAAGATAATTCTCACTTAATAAAACTAAATAATGAGCTAAGTTAAGCAGATTGAGTTAGCTTTTGTTACATCATCTTACTTCAGAATTGGTTAAGATTGTGTAGACGTGACCATTTGATGAAAAAAAAAAAGAAGTCAACAAAAATCAGCCAACCAATAAATCTCTTTGTTTGAAAGTTAAGTTAGTTTTCGGGTTATTTAGGGTGCATTCACACCAGCCCTGTTTAGTCCGCTTTAATCGAACTCTAGCTTGTTTTCCTTGAAAGTCCGGTTCGTTTAGGGAGGTGTGAACGTGCCATCGAACTCTGTCACGGAACAAAGAGGCGAACTCTGGCCCGGGCTAAAACCTAGGTCTCGGTCCGGTAGAAGAGAACTCCAGCGCGGTTCGAGTACAGTGTGAATGTAAACAGACCGAGCCCCGCTCCACAGGGTAAACAAACACGCATTTCTCTGACCTTATATGGAGCCGTCAGCTGCCTTGTGTGAAAAACAATATTCTCCATGGTCTTCTGTCTCATCTTCTGCTCATGTCCATTTTTGAAAAATGACAAAATATAACTCCTAAAACTGCTAAAACTTGATGCCACTTCGTTTTTATTTTTATTTACAGAAGAAGAAGAAGACGTGTCTTCAGAGGTTTTTGTGTGGTTTCTTTCAGTAGTTCTTGGTGCAGCGCCCCCACAGGCGAGCGGGGGAATAAGTTGACTCGACTGCACAGTGCAGTGTGAATGCAAACGCACCAGCTCAAATGTAAACAAAAGCTCATGAATATTGGTCCCGAACCGAGTCTACCGGACTATCTACTGTGAAAACGACCTTAGTCGAGTTGTGTTCTTGGTTTTGAACTCCATGTCATATTCACTGGATATCCTGTTGCTCTTCTTCCAGCTTTTCACCCATTTACCATTATTAATCACCACACCTGTTTCCATTTACTCATCCTTCCAAGTGTACGCCTCAATTTTCACAGTTTGTCATCACATCCTCCTATTTCCTCTGCGTACTTTGTTATATTGTCTGATTCGATTTATAACCTGGTTCTAGTTAGTGAAGGCTGCACAGAAGACTGATGGAGTCAACCTCCCCACCATCACAGACATCTACACCTCCACATGCAGGAAGAGGACAACCTGCATCGTGAAGGACCCCACTCACCCATCACACACACTTTTAGCCCTGCTCCCCTCAGGAAGGAGATTCAGGAGCATTAAGTGTAGAACCACTAGACTGAAGAACAGCTTCTACCCTGAGGGTGTTAGACTCGTGAATCTCTAACCAGAATAATCACTGTAAGAAAAACAAAAACATGTAATGCCACTTTAATAGGTGATATGTGACTTATCTGTGCCGCTGATTATCCATGCTGCTGATCTCATGCTGCTGATCTCCTGCCTTTATGCTGCTGCATTCACACCCATCTGCTCACTACAGACTCAAATTTGAGCTCCTGCTTAATATACCATATTATTTTACATTATTAGTGTTTAGCATATATTAGATCCTTATATACTATTGCTCTTTATATTTTTGCCAAATTTTGGGTGTAACTGGGTCCTTGAGTACACAATTTTGTTCCACCTCATGAACCAAATGTGATGCAAATGACAATAAAGAAACTTGAACTTGATTTATAACAAACTTTCTGAACTGTCAATAAACACCAGCAACACAACAACAAGCTCGGAAATACATGAGAACGCTGTGTCCAATATGGCACAATGATTTGGTTAATGTTAATGGCTCTCTTCAAATGACTGTCCTTATATATCACCTTTCTATCTGATCCAGATACTCAAAGCTCTTTACACTACAACCTGTGCATCATTTACCCATTCATACAGCACTCTACTTGATCTATACAAAGAATAATCAGTGCTTTGGATCACATTCATGCACCGATCGGACACACATCGGAGGCAATGAGGGGTTCAGTGTCTTGCCCAGGGACACTTCAGCATGTGACTGCTGGTGGAATCAAACCCCCAACTCTCCCATTGGAGGATGACTGCTCTAACCACTCAGCCACAGCCGCCCCAGTCTGTCCACCCCATGTCTTTAGTGACATAAGTGTAGCTAGCATTTTATTATTTATGTGAATCCTGAAGGAGACCCTGTGACATCACTGTTGGACGTTTGCATGTCCAAGTGCACGTTGGAACAAGTGTGAAAGAAAGGTGGGTTGTGACGAACGTGCTCTGGAAGCTGAAAGGAAAGTTAATGTCCATGACTCAGACTGCAAAGGGAATGTTACCTCAGACACATATGGACATCAAGGAAATTACTGTAGCTCCATTAGATCCAACAGTGTTGTGTGGTGGTAAGCCTTAGTGTTGATTTAAGAGGTACAACGCAAACAAGGGCTTTCAGAGAGACATGTTTGTGTTTGGAAACCTTAACTCACTGCCTGAAAAGACTGGAAGGTTTCTGCTTCAGGCAAAGTTCCTCCCAGCCCTTGAAAGAAATCAAATAAATTATTATACAAAAGGTGCATGTGATGTGTATAAGCACAGTGAAGCCAAAAATCATGTTTCTCTGCATGGTTGAACAATAAGGAAACGGGTCTCTAAAGGCTCCTTCACAGAACACCTTCAACCCAGGATTTACTTGTCTCTGATTTCTGAATGGGCCGAGGCAGCATGGGGGGATGGAAGCCAATCCACCGTTGAGCCCTTGAGCCAAAAACAAGGTAGTAAACTAGGTTTAGAAAATTTAAGTAGAAGTGGTTAATTACTTTTGCAAAAACATTGTGAAAAAAATTAATTATGTGCAAAAAAAACAACAACCTACAAGTCAAAATAAAATAAAAATAAAAAATAAACATCAGAATGTGGATGGTGTGTGCAGGACTTTGGAAAAGTCTTTAGGTGTGTATTAAGAAGGCAGTGGCCTACCATCATGCGTGAAGGAATGTGATAAGTTGCAGGGAGTTTTGAATGTGCATTAAACTGTTGTAGCGAGGTCGAGGTGGTTAAATATCGTGGTGGTTGCGACACGAAAAGGGCCTGACGTGTACCAGACAAAGGCCTGGCGTGTACCAGACAAAAGCCTGGCGTTTACCAGACAAGGGCCTGGCGTGTACCAGACAAGGGCCTGGCGTGTACCAGACAAGGGCCTGGCGTGTACCAGACAAGGGCCTGGCGTGTACCAGACAAGGACCTGGCGTGTACCAGACAAGGACCTGGCGTGTACCAGACAAGGGCCTGGCGTGTACCAGACAAGGACCTGGCGTGTACCAGACAAGGACCTGGCGTGTACCTGACAAGGACCTGGCGTGTACCAGACAAGGGCCTGGCGTGTACCAGACAAGGGCCTGGCGTGTACCAGACAAGGACCTGGCATGTACCAGACAAGGGCCTGGCGTGTACCAGACAAAGGTCTGGCGTGCACCAGACAAGGGCCTGGCGTGCACCAGACAAGGGCCTGGCGTGCACCAGACAAGGGCCTGGCGTGCACCAGACAAGGGCCTGGTGTGTACCAGACAAGGGCCTGGCGTGTACCAGACAAGGGCCTGGCGTGTACCAGACAAGGGCCTGGCATGTACCGATGTGGCTTGATTGTTTAGTATTTGAAGCAAGGCTGACCACACTGGCTACGACAGAGTCCTGCCTACATGATGTTGCAGCACTGTGCACTCTGCCCATCTTTCGGAGGACTGTATGAACATAATTTCACTGTATTTCAGTACAATGATAATAAAGCTTATTCTGATTCTGATTTTTCCGGTGTGCTGTGATCCCGAGAGTCTAAGGTAGTGTGGTCATGGAAATGCACTCCTGACGTCCATGGTGAGACCACAATAAAATGCTTTGCTGCGAGCACTAAGAGTGCAGCTAAGTCATAATTGCATAACAGTGAAAGAGATGTTACAAATCTGCCATAATCCAGCCACGTTTTACGAGGTCACTTAGGTTGTGGAAAGCATAGTGGGCGGGGTCATCATTTAGTTTGAAGGGGGCCATAAGGGCTAGGCATACTCCTGAAGTCGAACCATCAACTCGTGGTGACATGGTTGCAGGATGTTCATTTTTGCACACACCTGTCATAGTCTACAAGACAGACGGCACAGACCTCCAGGGAAACCCACTGCAGTATACGTCACTGCGTGGGTTTCTTCCCGTCAGAGTCTCCACTCCATCTCTGCATCCACCGTTTGGCCACAAATCCATCATGAAGAGCCACACGTTTCAGCAGACAGACTCCTCCATACATAATGTCTGCATGATATTTTGGCTATTTGACAAATTTAGTGTGTTTAGCCGTACAAATGAAAGTTCGAGTGAATTTTCGCATTGGGGAACATGCTCACAAACTTCTGACCAAACACACAACACTTGGTGTGAAAAAGTTCGGACCGGGCATTGTGTCGAATGTGCAGGCGAAGTTATGCTACCCTGACAACAAAATGACGCAATTTTCGTCAAGCAACTACGCCAATGAGAGACGATTTTATTGCTTCAGATGGAGTATGCAGGGAGCTACAGTCCACCCCCTGAGACTCTAACAAGGAGAAAGCACAGTGCTTGTAAAGTAATTGGAAAATTAAACAGGTTAAATGAATGGTGGACATGAAGCTGAAGTCTGGAAGACACCAGAGAGAGGCGCTCGTAGGGTTGCCAAAAAGTCTCATGAAAACAACTCTTGGACTTGGGCTCGGGGCAAATGAGTCTTCGGGAAACATGTTGCAGCTGGTTTAAAGCACATCTCACCGCAACAAAGAACAGTCACTTAAATATCAACCAACTCCAGGAGCAACATCTCTATAGAAGTTGGTGCAGTTTTAGTGGTGAATCCTAACAGTTTTTAAGACTTCTTGTTTCTGAAGATGTTTTGCTACTAATTCAAGACTCCTTAAATAAAAATTTAAGTCTACTGAAGCCAGAGATTAACTTTTTTTTCCCCCAATGGAAGTATTGAAGCCAAAAGTGAAAAGAAACAAAGTGAAGGTTTTACAAGGACTCTGACGGTCCTCCGCCCTCAGTGCATGTGCTGTGACACACCAAGCTGCTCCTTAGTTTCCAGCAACACAGTTCATAGACGGAAGGATGAGATAGTGAGCTGGATGGAAACCAAGAAGTTAAAAAAATAACGGAGGCAAAGGCATCCAGGCTTATGAAACAGACATGAAGGCTTCGTGCCCAGACTGCTTCCAGGAAAATCATCTACCTCAGTCATTCCAATAATGTCACCCCCATATGAAAAGCATTCCTCTGCAGCTCTGGACAACACTTGACTCTAACTCCCTGCGGTCCACACTTCCCTTGCATCATTCTTTTGTCTGCTCTCTCAAACACATACACAACAGTGGTTCCTAAAGTTGGGGATGGGGTCATGAAACACCAAGTGAGGGGTCTTGGACACATTTTAAATAGGATTAGCATAACTTTGTGACAAATCTTAAATTCATAGAATTATTAGAAAAGGATGATGAGGTAACATTATATCCATGTTTAATTGACTTTTTAGCAAATTTAGCTTGTGAAAGTTAACAGGTGGGAGAGAACTTGGTGGAGGTATGCACATGAAAGAGGAATGAAGGTCAGCTGTAGTATGACAGAGTACACGAGGAGACAGGTGGACCAGTGAGACTACAATGAGCAGAGGTCACAAAGGTGCAGGACTTCAAGTACTTGGGGTCCACTGTCCAAGAAAATGGGGAGAAGAGAGTCCAGGCAGGATGGAGAAAAGATCAAAGGAAAAGTTTACATGAAAGTGTGAGACCAGCTGTGTTGTATGGTCTGGAGACAAGAGACATGGACATGAAGACAGGAGACAGAGACATGGACATAAAGACAGGAGACAGAGACATGGACATAAAGACAGGAGACAGAACTGGAGGTGTCAAAAATGAAGATGTTGAGGAGGAGTGATAAGGATGGATGAAATTATGAATGAGAACATCTGAGGTACAGAACAGGTTAAAGCAGTGGTTCTTAAACTGGGGTCCCGGGACTCCTGGTGTCGGATCTGAGAGCCGGTGCTTGGGGGTCCGCAAAAATTATTATTTTCTTTTTTTTTTACAAGCACGTAGATGTTTAACAACCTGTTAAAATACATCAAAATGCAGGAAATCACGTCTACTTTATTCAAAACTTTCTGGGAGAGGACCCCCAGACCTCGCCCCCGTCAGCTATTTGCGTTTACGGCATGGATCCATTTACAAACGAAGCCCTGCTACTTGGTCTGACTGCTGCTGTTACGATTCTTTCAGTTTATGTAAAGAGTTTTGTGTAATAATTGAAGAAGTGATGATACATTTATTATGTTCGTTATGTGAATCTGATCTCAGGCTGCTGTATTCATTCATTCATACCCATCACTCACCACAGACTCATGTTCGGGCTGCTGTTTAATATTCCATATTATTTTACATTATTAGTGTTTAGCGTATATCTTTTAGTGTATTGTTTGGCATATACAGGTATATCTAAAATCCTTACATACAGTTTCTTTATACGCTTTATATTTTTGGGTGTACTATGAGTACATAATTTCATTCCACCTCATGTACCACATGTGATGTGACTGACAATAAAAAACACTGGACTTGAATAGGTAAAGTTTTAAAAGTGGTTTTTGATTATGTTAATTTTCTCAAAACCCAAAAAGCCCCAAAAGTTTGAGAAACCCTGGGTTAAATGGACTGGGAGATAAAGTTAGAGAGACCAGACTAAAATGGTTTGGACATGTCCAGAGGAAGGACAGTGGTTTGGACATGTCCAGAGGAGGGACAGTGGGTAAACTGGTAGAAGGATGTTAGAAATGCAGCTGCCAGAAAAAAAGACAGAGATATATGGATGCAGTTAGAGAGGACACGGAGTGAGGACAGAGGACACAGAGGACATGGAATGAGGACAGAGACTGGAACAGCAGTAGTCAGTGACACAAGTGTGATGTTTTGAGGGTGAAAAGTTAAAAAGTTTGGGAGCACTCTTCTAACAGACCCACGCAGAAACAGGAACCACGTTCCTCCAGACTCTCGGACGTGCTGTGGAGGAACGTGGAGGACATTTGGACTCACGTAGAGCTCCAGAAGGAGGGACACCTCCTGTTGGAGCTGGGCTGCGACGGCAGCGGCTCTGGCAGTCCCGGCTCGGTGTTCCGCCATGGTTCTGGTCCGTGTCCCCGCCATGTCCAGCTCTTCTGCCGCCGTGGTACTCCTGAGACTCTTATCGTGAAACACCGCCTTCTTTCCGGTTCCCCTCCTCCTCCATTAATCATTTTTCCGGTAAGCCGAGCTCCCCCCACGACCTCCCTGTTACTGGAGCTGGAAGTCATCTCCACCCTCCTCTTCCTCCCCCCGGAGCCGCAGGAGGGAGGAGGAGTTCATCAACTTATTTATGAGAGTTTATCTCACAATAAAAACTAATATATCGTATTAAAAAAAAAAAGTTCAGCTGCTGCACGGTTTCTTTACAGGGGCGGCACCAGGGGGGAGGGGAGGGGGGCAACAGTGGATCCTTCAAAAATAAAATGGTGCAAACAAACTCTAGTATCGAGGCACCTTAGGCGTGACAGTTTCTTCATGTTCATGAACAAACAGGACTATCAGGGTGGACCCATGAGTCCTATCAGTCACAGGAAATGTCCATCAGCCGTGGACGAGGAGGTTTAAAACTCTGACACGATCCTTTTAAAGAAAACTTAAAATAAAACAGATAACAAATGTTAAGACAAGGTGTCCATAAAGGAATGCATACTTTCTGCCACAGTTTTACAGTGAAACCACCATGAAGAGGGGGAGTTCTGATCAAACCTTGTAAAAGATGTACACAACACAGAGATCTGTTAGTGCTCAAAGTACGTGCTGAGGATGACTCTCAGCTACTGCCACACCAAACATCAGCTCAACATGTGTCAAACTGACGGAGGCAAGGACATCTTTGTGTTGGCTGGTGTAGACGGACTGCAGCCATCTTGAGTCGGAGCGACTGCAAGAGTTGTACATCCGTGGATGGCTTTGGTGATATTATGCTAACACAACAGAAAAATACACCAAAACATTGAGGCCTTTTCACATTTGGTATATATATATATATATATATACTGTA